ATCCAGACGTTGAGCTTACAAAGCCCGATAGTATAATCACGAATCTAGAGCAGCATATGAATCTCATAAATGTAAGCATGTTAGAAGATATGGTAATATGCAGTAGGTATATGCATGATCCTAATCTAATGCTACCTACTTAAAGTTTAACAGTTCTACCTCTTTAGGGTAAGTCTCATACTTCCCTTAGTCTCTAATAAGGGCTTTGCCATGAGTAAACGTATACGAGTTCTTTAACCTCAGTATCATCCTTCAATGCATCATTATACAACATACAATGATAGTACCTGATATCACAAAGACACCAGGTATAATCACACAACAATAAGTAAGCATCATGGTTGGGGTCACTTTAGTATCAAGGAACTCATACCCCTATTTACTACTAGATGTACCTTAGGTATGATCTAGGTCACATAGTGTAACACCCTAATCCAGTTCGACCCGAAGATCCATAGATTATAATATTACACGGGACTATTGAAATATAACCAATTTTTTCTTTAAAACTGATTTAAAAACCATTTTACAAGTTCATCCAAAATAAATAAATTAAAACAAGAAAAATATTTCAATTTATAAAATATGGGGAGCTTCCAAAATATATCCAAAATAATACAATATTGAGTACAAATCAAAGTTACGATTGAATACACATAAGGGTCCATAAATAATACATGCCCTCTAAGAATGACTCAATATGTACTTTGATGGTCTTTGTGGATCTGATCTGCTACACTGGAATGCCTGTGATGATAACTCCCTATGAACGACCTCCTAAGAACCTGCGCATGGAAACACATTTCGAACACTGACCTAACGAGCTCACTGCCTCACTAATAATTGTACTATACTACATGCATTCACTAAATGAGCTGGCTAGTGACACATGTCTGAATCATGCAAAATACTTATCTACTAAGTTATGGTTGGCATCATGGTGCGGTTGAGGGTTCTGTATCTCGGAGCTCACACACCCTTCTAGCCTGCTGAAATACCTTTGGGTATTCTATGGTGAAATCTAAAATCTGCATCGGAAGCATACACCCGACCAACTTACTCCATCGTGTCTTGGGGCATCTGTGCCCAGTTGACAACTGAAGTGCCTTGGCACTGACTTGGATATCCATTAACTATCTTATTCTACTAAAGAGGCTCGGGTGTCTTGGCTATTTCCTGAGTGTCAACCAAGGGTAGTTTTATGTGATCCTAGCTGTTATTGTTTTTCCTGTTCGATATTAATTATTGTTCTCACTTGTAGTTTTATATGCTATTATACTGATATTTTTGGGCCCCTCAAGTCTAAACCATTAACCCTTAGATTATTTATCCAAAACTGCCCGTGGGTACTGATACTGACAGCTTAACTAGGCTGTTTGAGAAGGGTAGTATCGATACTCTTGACTGAATATTGATACTCAGAGGCTTGGGATCGATGATGAACTGGGTATCAATACCAAAATGGTATTATGGAATCTAAATTGTTTTCCCAGTATCGATACTACCCCTCGAGTATCGATATTGGCCCTGTAGTATCGATACCACTTGAATGGGCATCAATACCTCTTACTTAAATTTGAATAATTTTTACTTTAGCTAAAGAATAGTATTGGTACTGTTCTTACAGTACCGATACCCCTACTCGAAAATACCCTATTTTGGCCACGAAAGTTGCCAAATTTTGCCCCAAAACGTCCTAGTAAGGGTACCGGTTGTTATTAGAGTCTTATTGATAATTTCAGGGGGTCATAAAGAGATCTTATAACATATTGAAACATCAAAAGATGCAATCTACCATGCACATGCTTCAAAGCTCATGCAACTTACCAAAACTCACCTAATGAACTATATGTGGTAGAGCTGAGTTAGAAGTGAGTTACCTAGTGATTTAAACTTCTGAAAGCTCTTAAGAACTCAACCAAGAGTGAGCTTCTCCTTCACATAGCTTTGGATCTTTCATCAACCTACCTCACTAGAAAATAATCAAGAACAAGGGTTATTAGCTGAATTTAGAGGTTTATAAGACTTTAAGAACACTCCCTAAGATTAGAATTCCCTGAAAACGAATAAAATCCCCTATGTTTTTTAAACCCTCATAAAACTCGTTTTTGCAAACCATGGCCAAAACTTACTCTCTTAGTCTCAAATGGAAGCTCTAGAGGTGCTGAGTTGGTTCATACCTTTAAATTGTTAAATTTGGTTTAATAGGTCACCAAGTTTTCACCTTTGAAGATTGCAAGAGAATGAATAATGAAGGATGAAGAAGGGAGAAGAAGAGAAAAAGAAGAGTGACAGAAAAAAGATGAATACCAGACGTGAGATCACTAATTTTAATTTGTTTTTAGTTTAATTTTGAACAATGGTTTAATTACTCCCTTGGTCCTTCTGATTTTGGTTGCAAACTAAAAATACCCTTTTTACTCTCTATTGGGCTTAATCTAAGCCCAAAACTATTTCGAATTGGGTCAAAACTTAATATATTCTAAGGAATTAATTCAAGTTCCATCTCGTGTTAGCCCAAAAGTCTTAACCTGAGATCCGCGGTGTTACAACTCTCCCCTCCTAAAAGAAATTTTTTCCTCAAAATTTAACTGGATAGAAGAGTTGAGGATACTGAAGTTGCATGTCCTCCTCAATTTCGCATGTCACTTCCTCAACGCCATGGTTCCTCCAAAACACATTTTCTAGAGGTATTCTTTTGTTCCTTAGCTCCTTCACATCACTAGATAGAATTCTAATTGGTTCCTTTATATAGGTCATGTTTGGGATGACCTCAATCTTCTCTAGGGGTATGACGTGAGAAGGATCAGAACAATATCTCCTGAGCATGGATACATAGAACACATTATGGATACGCTTCAACTCTAGTGGTAAGGCTAACCTGCAAGCCACTGGTCTGACTCTCTCAAGTACCTTATAAGGTCCTATAAAGCACATAATTTAATTTCCTTTGCACCCAAAATGAATTACTTTCTTCCAAAGGGAAACCTTAAGGAATACTTTATCCCCAACTGAGAACTCAATATCCTTACGCTTCAAATCCATGCAGGACCTCTTCCTGTCTGAAGCCTCCTTAAGCAGGCTTTGAATCAATCAAACTTTATTCTCTATCTCTCTGATCAAGTATGGGCCTACTATCTTACCCCTAATGAGCTCTTTGCATCATAGTAGAGTCTTATACATGCGCCCATATAAGGTCTCATACGAAGCCATTTGAATGCTCGACTGAAAACTATTGTTATAGATGATAACTATCCAAAAGAGTTGTCTTTAGTAGCATTTTTTACCTATGTTTAGCTTGGACTTGTTTGAAATTAAGCATTTTTAGGAGCAATTTAGGATCAAATTTCTTTAATGTTACACATTTTGCATATTAGGAACTTTGTGGGTTGCCTAGGGTTGAATTTGACTTTTTTGCTGTGAAACTGTTACAACGATGTCGTAGCATTGCAGATTATGCTAAGCGGATGCTGCAGTAGCCAATAAAGCTCTAGACGGTTGAGAGAACTTTCTAGATGAGAAATATGGCTTGAGCAGCTGTCAATGGGCATATCACCTAAAATGTGGGAGCATCCTATTGAAGGATGAAAATCTCCTTATAGCTATAAATAAGAGACTTGCAAGACTAAAAAGTATGATGATTAGAATCTATTTGAAAGTACACTTTTCAACGTTTATCCTTTGTATTCCATGGAAGCTTAACCCCATGCCAGGGATTGCTGCAGCACAAAGAGAGCTCATTGAGTACCATTGACAGTAGTAGATCACCATTCGAGGCCTTCTATTAAGAGAATGAGTGATTTAAATACTTTATAAACTTTGTGGATGATATTTTGGGTTTATCATTTTATGTTTATTTTGTTACTTCTTTTATGTGCTTGATGCTTTATGATTATGAGTAGAAATACTTATGATTAAAGTATGTAATTTCAATTATTTCTAGAAATAGATTTAGTTGATTTGCTGTATACCTTTGATAGCATTGGTGTTGCTGAGTAGCAATGTGTGTGTTGAAAATCATGCATCCAATCGATTGGATTTGTTCATATTTTGAACCTTTAATTAACGAAAGTAATTAGAGAAGTTCAAAAGGTCTTAATCAATGTTGATCTCATTGATTTAGTATGCACTGTTTACATAAGGTATGATGATCACAATATCCTTTCCATATTCAATATTCTTTATGTTTACAACTTTAATGAAAACATATTTTTCCATGTGGGTTCGACATCTGTAGCATTAGTTTGCTAACACTTTATTACTTGGTTTACGTTGCGTGCACTTGCGTAATTGCTATAGCATTTTCGTAGCATCAAGTTTTTGGCTTTGTTGACGACAATATTATCTGTTTAATTTAGGGCTTTCTTTATTTTTCTAACTTTGTTATTTTCTTTTTTTAGGTACTTTTAGTTTTTATTTTTGCTAATTCATGCCTCGAAGCGACGGAGAAATGTAGTTTTTTTTTTCAGAGATTGAAAGGACTTTTAGGAGACGTTGTAGTGAAGCTACAAAGAATAGAATGAATATGGCTGGAAAAGGGAATGGTATTTTACCCCGTTGCAGAATGTAGAGGATGGTAAGTTGCATGCTGGCATTGGAGCAGAACAATTATATAAAACTTGGGTGATCGTAATTGTCCTATCCATGACCATGTAGTGTGGACACTGGATGATTTGCATCCTGGCATAGTGAGGCCAATGATTAATATTATGAACTTTGAGTTAAATCCGATTATGTTCCAAATGTTACAATCTATGGGATAATATAGAGGGTCTGTAGCTAAAGATCCTAGGGCTCATTTGAGAGCGTTCATGGAGGTTTTTGATTTATTTATTCAACAAGGTGTTCCGGAGGAGGCACTGAAGCTGAAGTTATTTCCTTATTTGATGCGTGACAAAGCACGTGCTTGGTTGAGCTCACTGCCACTAGATGTTATATCATCCTGGAATGAGTTATCTTAGACATTTTTGCTGCGATTCAACCTGTCGAACATGAATGCCAAACTCTGAAATGATTTAACTTAATTCAATAAAATAGAGGATGAAAACTTTTATGAAGCATGAGAAATATTCAAGGATTTGATACGGAAGTGTCCTATGCATGGATTTCGACATTGGACCCAAATGAAGATGTTTTATAATGGGTTAAAATACATACTCGTATGGTGGTCGATGCTTCAATAAACAGAGCTTTGTTAGATAAGACATATAGTAAACTATATGATATTCTCGATGAGATCTCAACTAATGATTGCTACTACTCAAATATGAGAAATATGTTTGGCTGACGCAATGCTGTAGCACTAGATTCTGAAGCTTTCAATTCTATGGCATCTTAGATTTCAGTATTGACGGAAATGGTGAAGAAATTGAAAAAACCTGAAGGAATATATGAAGTCAAGGTTGTATATCTCATCACTTGTGTTTATTGTGGTGATAATCACAATTTTGATGAATGCCCCCAAAATCTGGAGTCTATCTACTATGTGCAGAATTATCAAAGGAATGATAATGTTTTTGGAAACATATATAATGCCAATTTTAAAAATCATCTCAATCTTTCTTGAACAAGTCAGAATGTTGCAAATCTGTAGTAGCATCATTATCATCGACAACATTATAATCAACAACAACCTATGTCGCAACCATAAACACAACATCATATTACACAACCACAACAAAGGAAAGATTATTAAGGTTAATGTTCAACCCAAACTTCAACTTTATCATCTCTTGAAGCTTTGATGAAATAATATATGGTGAGCCAATCAACCTCGTTAAAGGCTCTAGAGAATTAGATGGGATAAATGGCATATTCTCTTAACAATCGGTTGCAAGGAACGTTGTTTAGCGACATTAAGAGTCCAAAGAAAAATGATAAAGAGCATTGCAAGGTCATCACTACAAGGAGTAGAATTCATATTGGGGAGTCATTCGAGGAGTCTATGAAGAATGGTGTGCAGGTTCCTAAGCATGGTAAAGCAAAGAGTAAAGAAATTGTGCATGAGACACCTATGAGTCATACCACAACATCAAATGCAATATAGTGTAGCAATTTAGAGGCATTGCCAATAGCAATACCTACTACATCTGATGCTCCATCAACTTCAATGCCTCAACAATAACAAACAAAGATGCCTCCACCATTTCTATATCGTTTCAAAAAGACAAAGGAAGATCAGTAATACAAAGCTTTCCTTGATTTCCTTCACCAACTCACAATTAACATTCTGTTGATTGATGTTTTAGAGCAAAACCCAAACTACATCAAATCCATGAAGGAAGTTCTTTCGAAAAGAGGAGACTTGGTGAATTTGAGACTGCCGCTCTTACCGAAGGCTGTAGCGTTATGGCTACAAGTCAATTGCCACTAAAACTTAAAGATCCAGGGAGTTTCACTATTCCTTGCAATATTGGTGATACATTTTCAAGTAAATCTTTATGTGATTTAGGTGCTACCATAAATCGAATGCTATTGCCAATCTTTAGTAAATTTAGAAGCGATGAAGCAAGGCCCACTACGATCACTTTGCAACTTGCAGATCGCTCTACTTTGCATCCTAGTGGTATCGTGAAAAATATGCTTGTGAGAGTAGACAATTTAATTTTTCCCACGAACTTCATTATTTTGGATTGTGAAGCAGATAAAGATGTTCCAATTATTCTTGGCCGCCCATTCCTTGTCATAGGTCAAGCCTTACTTGATGTTGAAAATGGAGAGTTGACTATGTGTTTAAATGATGAGCATATTACTTTTAATGTTTTAAATGATGTTTCTTATGTCAGTGGCAGTGTTGAATGTTTTTCACTTGATGTGATTGATGTTTTTTCACAAGAGCATTGGGAAGAATGCTACATCATAGATAGTGCCACTAGCGGTTCGATAGAAATCGAGGAATTCTTTGAGGAAGTGAAAGATGAATGTTGCAACAATTATATATAGAATATTGAACCTCTAGAAATGACTGATCATGTTATTCGAGCACCAGAGCCATCTATTAAGGAACCACCAAAGCTTGAATTGAAACCTCTGCCAGAGCATTTGAAATATGCTTACCTTGGAGAAAATGAAACACTATCAGTCATTGTGGGAGCACAGCTTACAGCATCACAAGAAGGTCAGTTAATTGTTGTGCTGAAGCAACATAAGAAAGCTATTGCCTAGATCATTGCTGATATCAAATGAATTAGTTCATCATTTTGCATACACGAAATTTTTTGGAAGACCCTAATAGTAGCTCGATTGAACATCAACGAAGGTTAAATCTAATCATGAATGAAGTGATTAGAAAGAAAATTATCAAATGGTTGGATTTTGGGACTATATATTTGATTTTGGACAACAATTGGGTCAGTCCTGTGCAATGCGTTCCAAAGAAAGACGATATTACTGTGGTGATAAATGATAAAAATGAATTAGTGCCGATGAGGACCACTACTAGTTGGAGAATATGTATGAACAATATGAAGCCCAACAAATTGACGAGGAAAGGCCGTTTTCCATTGCCATTCATAGACCAGATGCTAGACTGTTTTGTTGGCAAAGCTTTTTACTATTTCTTGGATGAATATAGTAGGTACAACCAAATTGATATAGCATCAAAGGACAAGGAGAAAACAAATTTCACATATCTATATGATACCTTTACTTTTCGTAGAATGTCATTTGGGTTATGTAATGCTCCAATGACATTTATACGCTGCATGATGGCTATATTATTCGAAATGATTGAAGATTATCTCGAGGTATTTATGGATGATTTTTCTGTATTTGGGTAAGATTTTATGATTTTTATGAATAATTTGGTTGTAGTTTTAAGAAGATGTGGGGAGACCAACTTAGTTTTGAATTGGGAGAAATGACATTTCATGGTCATGAAAGGTATTATCCTAGAGCACTGTATTTTCTACCGTGACATTGAAGTAGATAAGGCAAAACTGGAAGTTTTTGAGAAATTGCCACCTCCAACTAATGTGAAGGCAGTTCGAAGCTTTCTTAGCCTTGCTGGTTTCTATAGAAGATTTATCAAGGATTTTTCTCAAATTACCAAGCCATTATGTTCATTACTGGAAATAGAAAATTTGTAGTTCATGAAGAATTGCTTAAGTCCTTTGAGATAACAAAGATGAAGCTAGTCAATGAACCTGTCATTGTAGCACGAGATTGGAAATTACCCTTTGAGTTAGTGTGTGATGCTAATGAATTTGTTGTAGGTGCAGTGCTGGGGCAACGAAAAAATAAAGTGTTTCATGTTATACACTATGCGAGCAAAACATTGAATGATGCTCAAGTTAATTACACCACCACTGAAAAAGAGTTGAACACTGTGGTGTGTTCCTTTGACAAGTTTCGTTCATACATGGTAGGCACCAAAGTAAATGTCTATATGGACCACTCAACACTGAAGCATTTGTTTGCAAAGATGGATACAAAGCCTAGATTGATTCGATGATTCCTCTTACTCCAAGAATTTGATATTGAGATTCGAGATAAGAAAGTATTTGAAAATCAAGTGGTTGATCACTTGTCTATGTTAGATTATGGTAGCGAGGATGGTAGCATTGTTGTAATTCGAGACGAATTTCCTGATGAATGACTGCTTGCTACTACAACATTACCATGGTATGTTTATTTTGTAAATTATCTAGTCCATGGAATGATGCCACCTGATCTTAATTATCAAGGAAGAAGAAAATTTACAAGGGATGTGAGGCAATACCATTGGAAAGAGCCGTATATATTTAAACAATGCAATGATCAACTCATGAGACGATGTATTCTTGAGTGTGAACATCAAAGCATCCTATAATATTGCCACAATGCCCCGTATGAAGGTAATTTTGGTGGTATACACAAGTAGATAAAGTGCTTCGTGTGATTGCTACCAGCGTATGAGTAATATTTCTTGGTAAAATGAGATGCCAATGCAATTCCAATGCAATGCCAATGAAACTTATCTTGGAAATAAAACTTTTTAATGCATGGGGATTAGATTTTATGGGTCCTTACCCATTTTCATGTGGTAACCATTTTATTCTAGTTGTTGTTGACTATGTTTCCAAATGGGTAGAAGTCATAGCCTTGTCGAACAACAATGCTAAAGAGGTGTTATGTTTTCTGCACAAAAATATTTTCACTCACTTTGGAACACCCCGTGCATTTATCAGTGATGAATGATCACAATTCATTGGGAATCAGGTTGCTAGAGCATTGAAAATATACAGTTGAAGCATAAGATTGCTACATTATATCATCCATAAACTAATGGTCAAGTCGAGGTATCCAATCAAGAAATTAAGAAAATTCTTGAGAAGGTTGTGAATCCTTCTATAAAAGGTTGGTCACAACACCTTGAAGAAGCACTATGGGCTTATAGGACCACTTACAAGACTCTGTTAGGGATGTCCCATTATCATATTGTCTACGGCAAACCTTGTCATATGCTTGTGGAGCTGGATCATAAGGCTGTGTGAGAATTGAAGAAGCTGAACTTTGAACTAGATGTTGTAAGGGAAAAATGAATGCTAGAGCTTAATGAGCTAGAGGAGCTTCGAAACAACACCTGTTAGAATTCACACATTTACAAATACAAGATAAAGAAGTGGCATGATCAACATATCTTAACAAGACATTTCATCGCTAGACATCAAGTTCTTCTATTTAATTTGCGATTAAAGTTATTTCCTGGGAAGTTGCATTCTCGTTGGTCATACCCTTTCGATGTTCTTGAAGTTTTCCCTCATGGTGTAGTTTTGTTAAAAAAATTGGTGGATGGAAGCACATTTAAAGTAAACGGGCATCGTATAAAGCATTATTTCCAGCAATAAAGCTCTATCGTTGCTTCAATCACACTAAGAGATCCCCCTCCTTTTTAATACTTTTACATTTGGAATTAGTTAATTTCTTTGACATTTATTTTTATTAAGTTCTTATTTTTATTTTTTGTACATTTTTTTGTTGTTATATTCATACTCTCAACCACTCTCTTCCAATTGATATTTGCCACACAACGTTTTGGAGGATTATGTGCATCCAATGTTGTTACTGAAGCTAAAGCAGTACTTGGCTGGCAATATCTCCTTTATTGTTAAATTAATTATGAGATTACACCATTTACCCTCTTTAAAATTTTCACCGCCCACCTTGGCATATCATAACGCCCATTCAAAATAAAACCTTATCACTCTATCCTTATACTTTTAAATTTTAAAATATTTTATCCCCTCTTTCACGCCACCCATTTACTTTACCCTTTTTCTCTACCTTCACTCTCATTGTGTTTCTTAAACTCTTTGCTATCATTCTTCTCCACTTTAATCATCTACCCGTAGATCTTCCATGGAACCTAAGAAGAAGGCAAGCAAGAAGCTGTCTGGTCGTACGACCACTCCACCTCCAGCTATACATGCGTTGCATGAAGTTACTCCGTCGGAGGAGATCAAGAGATTTATGGATGATGAAAAACGACATCAGTATGAATAAGAATTTTTCAGCCAAGAATTTTTCTATGAGTAAGGTTTTGATTTATCTACTGAGGAGGAGCCATAAATTTTCGACTAGATCTCCCAAATGATCACCCAATGAGGATGGGAGAAATTTTGTGAGCACCTTGATGATATCAACCAGTAAGTGGTTGGGAATTTTACAGCAACCTCACACGAGAAAGTGATTCATTGGTGGGAAAAGCCCATCAACATTCTGTTGGGTATCACTGAGGAGCTGTGCGAGCATTCGACGTTTATGGAAATCTAACTAAGGAAGAATTGAAACAAGTGGGTAGAGATTTTTGTGTGCCCGGGTGCTCTTGGACGAGATCAACAACTGGAGTTTGAATCATAAAGCAACTTTATTTTCATCGGGATGTAAGGGTATGGTTTATTTTTAGAATTCGTTTAATGCCAACTATGCATTTTCCCGCAATTATTAAGGATAGAATTTTGCTTCTTCACTCTATTTTATTGGGGAGAAAATCAATGTTGGGAAAATTATCTTTGTGGAAATGTTTGCTTGTGCCTAAAATACTTTACGTTATTTATATTTTCCATCTTTAATCACTGCATTGTGCTATCAAGCACAAGTGGATGCCTTGTCTTTTGACTAGATTATAGAAGATCAGAGTCTGATTACCCTCGCTACTATGAGGCAAACTTTGCTGAAGGAAGGACTAGACCTCAATGAAGCTCATGGTGAGCCATCTAATTCCATTATTGCAACACAACTCCCACCTGTGGATGACAAAACTCTGGATGCACTAAGAGTGTTATATAATCTGTCAGTGATAAGTAAGATTAGATCATGGAACTGGTGAGCCATTCTTTTCAGAATCAATCTCAAATGCACAACGCCTAAGTTCATTGCTGGGAGTATGCCAAGAATAACGATCTAGGCACAAAGACTATGCTTGCCAAGATATTTATAGAATCTGAAGGTATGTTCCCTGCCTGTTCTAGGAGTATGCCAAGAATAAGGATCTACCCACTTAGGGGAGTGTTGCTTCCCTTTCTCATGTTTTAGCTTTTTTGTGTGTGTTTATTTTAAGTTTTTGTTCTTTGTGTTTTTGATGTTTCATGTATTAGGGATAATGCATCCTTTAGGTTTGGGGTTATGTTGTTAGTTGAATGTTGTATTCAAGAATATAGTTTTACATATAGGGATTGTAATGGTAATTCCATAGGATAATTTTGTAGAAATTAATGAAGTTGTTAAGGGAATTTTATTGATGCCCAATGATGATGATTAATTGATATGAAATGATATAGGGAATACTGGAGAGTCTTTTCAAAACTAGGATCCTTAGATTTTTTTTACACTTAGGAGTATATTTTCAATACTTAGAGAATTTAGAATTTTTTAAGCTTTAAATCTCTTATCTTTATTAGATGTATAACAATATTGCAAAAAAATAATAAATCATAGGAAATAAGTTGGGTAATGCTAGTAAT